GCTGCTGCTGCAGCAAACATCACCCCAAAACACAGAGACAAAGACAGAGTGTACGTACACTGTACATATTCTCTCTGTGTTGCAACCAGTAAGACAGAAGCAGCTGCTGCAGCAGCGCCAGCAACAGCAGCAGCAGCAGCAGCAGCAGCAGCAACAGCTGCAGCAACTGCTACAGCAAAAGACCCTTCATAAAGAATTGAATCTCCTGCGCCGATATGTTTCTCGCTGCTGCTTCGGACCCCTCTATGGGGCAGCAGCAGCAGCAGCAGCAACAGCAGCAGCAGCAGCAGCAACCCTCTGAGGAGCTGCAGCAGCTGCAGCTTCTCTTCTCCGCTAGAGGCTCGGGTACTCCAGTAGGTGACCCGCTGCAGCAGGACCCTCAGCAGCAGCAGCAGCAGCAACAGCAGCAGCAGCAGCAGCAGGAAATAGGAGGTTTATGTAGCGGCTTATCTGGTGCTGCAGCAGCAGCACAGCAGTACCTAGCATCAACAAGGGGCCCCCCATCATCGATGGGGCCCCCTCCCCCAGTCTCATACCCTGTACAGCAGGGTCCGCCTCCCCCTATAACAGGGGGCCCCCTGGGGGGCCCCTCGCGGCTGCTGCTGTTCGTCGATAGACCCACCAGGACCTTCGCTCTGCAAGAGGGAGATATCAGGGACTGTGTCTCTTCCTATGGCCCCATAGAAACTGTAAGACACCACACCACACACACACACACATATTTATCTAATTACATATATATAATAGGGGCCCCCAGGAGATGGGGGGGCCCCCAGGTGACGGGGGGGCCCCAGGAGAGGGGGGGGGGCCCAGGAGAGGGGGAGGGGGGGGGCCCGGAGAGCGGGGGGCCCCCAGGAGAGAGGGGGGCCCCGTAGGGGCCTCTGGGGCCCCCGGGGGCCCCTTGGGACCCCCAAAAGGGTACTTCTGCGGGGCTCTAGAGAAGCCGCTGGGGGCCCCCATAGGGGGGCCCCCTAGGGGGCCCCCCTATGCGGCTGTTTCTTCGCTGGGTGTATATATAGAGGGTTTAGAGAATAAGGGGGATACAGAGAGACAGAGGGGGTAGAAAGTGCTGCTGCTGCTGCTGCTGCTGCTGCTGGTTGTTTTGCTGCTGCGGTTGTTGGACGTTAACGGTTCGATTGCTGCTGCTGCTGCTGCTGCTGCTGCTGCTGC